GGTCGGTTAGTGCTGGGTGAGTTTGGGGTGTTGGTTAGTGCTGGGTGAGTTTGGGGTGTTGGTTAGTGCTGGTTGAGTTTGGGGGGTCGGTTAGTGCTGGTTGAGTTTGGGGGGTTGGTTAGTGTGGGTGAGTTTGGGGGGTCGGTTAGTGCTGGGTGAGTTTGGGGGGGTTGGTTAGTGCTGGGTGAGTTTGGGGGGTCGGTTAGTGCTGGTTGAGTTTGGGGGGTCGGTTAGTGCTGGTTGAGTTTGGGGGGTTGGTTAGTGTGGGTGAGTTTGGGGGGTCGGTTAGTGCTGGGTGAGTTTGGGGGGGTTGGTTAGTGCTGGGTGAGTTTGGGGGGTCGGTTAGTGCTGGGTGAGTTTGGGGGGGTTGGTTAGTGTGGGTGAGTTTGGGGGGTCGGTTAGTGCTGGGTGAGTTTGGGGGGTTGGTTAGTGCTGGGTGAGTTTGGGGGGTTGGTTAGTGCTGGGTGAGTTTGGGGTGTTGGTTAGTGCTGGGTGAGTTTGGGGGGTTGGTTAGTGCTGGGTGAGTTTGGGGGGCGGTTAGTGCTGGGTGAGTTTGGGGTGTTGGTTAGTGCTGGGTGAGTTTGGGGGGGTTGGTTAGTGTGGGTGAGTTTGGGGGGTCGGTTAGTGCTGGGTGAGTTTGGGGGGTCGGTTAGTGTGGGTGAGTTTGGGGGGTCGGTTAGTGCTGGGTGAGTTTGGGGTGTTGGTTAGTGCTGGGTGAGTTTGGGGTGTTGGTTAGTGCTGGGTGAGTTTGGGGGGTCGGTTAGTGCTGGGTGAGTTTGGGGGGGTTGGTTAGTGCTGGGTGAGTTTGGGGGGGTTGGTTAGTGCTGGGTGAGTTTGGGGGGGTCGGTTAGTGCTGGGTGAGTTTGGGGGGGTTGGTTAGTGCTGGGTGAGTTTGGGGTGTTGGTTAGTGCTGGTTGAGTTTGGGGGGGTCGGTTAGTGCTGGGTGAGTTTGGGGAGTTGGTTAGTGCTGGGTGAGTTTGGGGGGGTCGGTTAGTGCTGGGTGAGTTTGGGGTGTTGGTTAGTGCTGGTTGAGTTTGGGGGGTTGGTTAGTGCTGGGTGAGTTTAGGGGGTCGGTTAGTGCTGGGTGAGTTTGGGGTGTTGGTTAGTGCTGGTTGAGTTTGGGGGGTTGGTTAGTGCTGGGTAAGTTTGGGGGGGTCGGTTAGTGCTGGGTGAGTTTGGGGTGTTGGTTAGTGCTGGTTGAGTTTGGGGGGTTGGTTAGTGCTGGGTGAGTTTGGGGGCGGTTAGTGCTGGTTGAGTTTGGGGGGTTGGTTAGTGCTGGTTGAGTTTAGGGGGTTGGTTAGTGCTGGGTGAGTTTAGGGGGTTGGTTAGTGCTGGGTGAGTTTGGGGGGTTGGTTAGTGCTGGGTGAGTTTAGGGGGTTGGTTAGTGCTGGGTGAGTTTGGGGGGCGGTTAGTGCTGGTTGAGTTTGGGGGGTTGGTTAGTGCTGGGTGAGTTTGGGGTGTTGGTTAGTGCTGGTTGAGTTTAGGGGGTTGGTTAGTGCTGGGTGAGTTTGGGGGGCGGTTAGTGCTGGTTGAGTTTGGGGGGTTGGTTAGTGCTGGGTGAGTTTGGGGGGCAGTTAGTGCTGGTTGAGTTTGGGGGGTTGGTTAGTGCTGGGTGAGTTTGGGGTGTTGGTTAGTGCTGGTTGAGTTTGGGGGGTCGGTTAGTGCTGGTTGAGTTTGGGGGGTCGGTTAGTGTGGGTGAGTTTGGGGGGGCGGTTAGTGCTGGGTGAGTTTGGGGTGTTGGTTAGTGCTGGGTGAGTTTGGGGTGTTGGTTAGTGCTGGTTGAGTTTGGGGGGTCGGTTAGTGCTGGTTGAGTTTGGGGGGTCGGTTAGTGTGGGTGAGTTTGGGGGGGCGGTTAGTGCTGGGTGAGTTTGGGGGCGGTTAGTGCTGGTTGAGTTTGGGGGGTTGGTTAGTGCTGGTTGAGTTTAGGGGGTTGGTTAGTGCTGGGTGAGTTTAGGGGGTTGGTTAGTGCTGGGTGAGTTTGGGGGGTTGGTTAGTGCTGGGTGAGTTTAGGGGGTTGGTTAGTGCTGGGTGAGTTTGGGGGGCGGTTAGTGCTGGTTGAGTTTGGGGGGTTGGTTAGTGCTGGGTGAGTTTGGGGTGTTGGTTAGTGCTGGTTGAGTTTAGGGGGTTGGTTAGTGCTGGGTGAGTTTGGGGGGCGGTTAGTGCTGGTTGAGTTTGGGGGGTTGGTTAGTGCTGGGTGAGTTTAGGGGGTTGGTTAGTGCTGGGTGAGTTTGGGGGGCAGTTAGTGCTGGTTGAGTTTGGGGGGTTGGTTAGTGCTGGGTGAGTTTGGGGTGTTGGTTAGTGCTGGTTGAGTTTGGGGGGTCGGTTAGTGCTGGTTGAGTTTGGGGGGTCGGTTAGTGTGGGTGAGTTTGGGGGGGCGGTTAGTGCTGGGTGAGTTTGGGGTGTTGGTTAGTGCTGGTTGAGTTTGGGGGGTTGGTTAGTGCTGGGTGAGTTTAGGGGGTTGGTTAGTGCTGGGTGAGTTTGGGGGGCGGTTAGTGCTGGTTGAGTTTGGGGGGTTGGTTAGTGCTGGGTGAGTTTAGGGGGTTGGTTAGTGCTGGGTGAGTTTGGGGGGCGGTTAGTGCTGGTTGAGTTTGGTGTGTTGGTTAGTGCTGGGTGAGTTTGGGGTGTTGGTTAGTGCTGGGTGAGTTTGGGGTGTTGGTTAGTGCTGGTTGAGTTTGGGGTGTTGGTTAGTGCTGGGTGAGTTTAGGGCATTAGTGCTGGGTGAGTTTAGAATGTTTGAATGGGTTAGTGTTGGGCTATTTGGGGTGTTGTAGGGCTGGTTGGGTCTGGATGGAATGGGATCAGGCATGCTGGGGTTTTTAGGATTTTAGGACTTTAGTTGAGTTTACAGTTCTACTTTATAAACTTTCCTTTGAATTCCAGAAATGAAATGCGTGTGAAGGAATGGCGATAATTAATTATTATTTCAACAAACTTTAATGTAAACGTTCTCAAAACTCCTCTTAAAAGTCAGAAGAGATTGTGATTTCTGTTTCTCATTGACAGACTTGCACACACATTGACCTTTGACCCTCATTCAGAAACTGCTGCTGTGCTGTGTCATGATCTAAAAAACAGCTAATAAACCTGATTTACCAACATTTGACCCAACATTTACTGTCTTACTGTCTCTCTCTCTCTCTCTCTCTCTCTCTCTCTCTCTCTCTCTCTCTCTCTCTCTCTCTCTCTCTCTCTCTCTGTCTCTTTCTCCCTCTGTAGCTCCTGAACTGGTCCTGAGGAAGGTTATCAATTTTTCTGACTGCACCGTGTGTTTGGATAAACGTAATGCGAGTGGGAAGATCGAGTTTTATCAGGACCCTCTGCTCTACAAATGTTCCTTCAGAACTCGTCTTCATTTCACCTACGACAACATCAATGCCAAAATCCCTGCCGTCATTAAAGTAAGAGAGTGTATCTATGGTGTGTCAGGATGGCGTTTGCGTTCACCTCGTCACTGTTGTTTCCGTGTGTGTGTGTGTGTGTGTGTGTGTTAAGGTTCACACGATGGTGGAGAGTCTGAAACTCTCTCTGACGGACCAGCAGCTGCCCATGTTCATCCGGCTGATGGAGTTGGGTGTTGCGCTGTATTACGGAGAGATGGGTGTCCATCGAGAGGGCGAGAGAGAAGAGAGTGGCTCACTTCGAGAGAGCGTCTCCGGTGAGTGAGACGAGCACTGCTCATCATTTCTCATTCAGTTTGTGTTGGTGTGTTTCTGAGGCTATAGAAACACACAGATCAACTCAATCCAGTGCATCTCTTTGAATGACATGAACTGAGCGTCTGTCTCTGTGTCTCTCTTCCCCTGTTCATGTGAATGTGGGTTTGCATAATTGATTCTGTTATTTTCGTTTTTATTACTGTGAAGCTGCTTTAAAACAGTCTGTAAATAGCTCTATAGAAATAAAGCTGACATGACTTGACTAGGTCTCAAAACAAAGAGAAACAAAGACTGAGAGATTTAATTAAATTTGATATATTATGCCTCTTTTCACTGGTTTCCCCAGAATGTGTCTGTGAAATTTCAGCTCCAAATCCTCCCAGATAATTTATTATAGCGTGTCAAATTTGCCCCTTTTTGGATGTGAGCAAAAACATGCCGTTTTAGTGTGTGTCCCTTTAAATGCAAATGAGCTTTAGCCCCGCCTCTGTTAAGAAGAGGGCGGAGGCTTTACACGAGCTTCAGAGACTCTGGCAATAACAACACAGGCCAATCTCACTGATCCAGAGTCAGGAGTAACAGCAGCGAGTGCAGCCTTACGGAGAGACTCAGGGAGAGCTTCACTTTTACACGTTTCTGAATGTTAGCGGAGACATTTCTGTAGTTGTTGTGGAGTTACACTGATCATCTCCTCATCATGTTGAACTCTTCCACAAGTGTCCACAGTTCCTGAGGTGTTTATAAGACAGCGCTGACATGTTCTGGTCAATAGTGTTCAGTGTCGTCTGTGCTCGACCACAGAACAGTTTCAGGCTTTGCTGGATCTTCTCCAGTGCGTTAGAACTGGTCTCTGTTGGCGCTCGCCGAACCCAATGTCGCTGGTGTGTGTGAACGTGCAGATTAAGGGCCGGTGATATTATAATAAGATCCTCTTCATACGTCAGAAGGAGCGAAATCTGATCGGCTTATTTTAGACATGCTTGCAGAGAAAGACTCACCAGAACAGAGTTACTGGGTTTCACTTTTCATGGTTTCTGTGTCGGTAGAAGCACCGGGACCCGATTATAGCACTATATAACACCGGCAAAGGCAGATTTTTATAATATGTCCCCTTTTATACATATCAGGAACTCTGTGAGAAGCGTCTGATCCCAGTCTGATCCTCACTGTCTCCTGCAGGTCTGATGGACGGCTCCGAAGCGTCTCTGACGGGTCAGTACTATCAGGACGAGGATGAAGATCAGGGTTGGGTGTCGTGGGCCTGGTCCTTCGTCCCGGCCATCGTGAGCGCAGAGGATGAGGAGGGTGAGAGCGAGTCCGGCTTCTACGCGGAGTCCACGGAGGCGGGTTCTGCCCGGCCCCTGCACAGGTCCCCCAGAGACCCTGTAGTGTCCGTCGGCTTCTACTGCACTAAAGCCTCACTCACCTTTAAGGTGAGAGAAACACCCAGAAATTACTCAAATCGCAGTAGTTCTCATGATATAAGAGAGGATTCTTAAAGGAGTTGTTCACTTTAAAATGAAAATTACCCCATTATTTACTCTCCCTCAATCCATCCTAGGTGTATATGACTTTCTTCTTTCAGATGAAAGAAAGAGTTATGTTAAAAAATATGGATGAATTCGCTTTTTTGAGCTTCAAACTGTTGGTTGCAATCCGCTGCCATTATCAACCTTGGAAGAGTCAGGGTGTTTATTATATAACTCTGATTGTGTTCGTCTGAAAGAAGAAAGTCATACACGGCTTGAGGGAGAGTAAATCATGGGCTAATGTTCATTTTAAAGTGAACTACTCCTTTAAATCGTGTCTGGTTTTGTCTGTAGCTCACGGAGAGTTGCTCTGAGAGCAGTTACTACAGCCCGCAGAAGCTGAAGTCCCGGGAGGTTCTGAGTGTGGAGCAAGAGGGAATCACAGTGGAGGTGAGAGACACACACACACACACACGAGCACATCGCCTGCTCCAGATCCCCTCCTGTGCTCACTGAGTGTGTGTCTGTGTGTGTTTCAGGCTCTGATGATGGGCGAGCCGTTCTTCGACTGTCAGGTGGGAGTCGTGGGTTGTCGCGCCGTGTGTCTGAAGGGCATTATGGGTGTTCGTGATTTTGAAGAGAACATGAACAGAAAAGAGGAGGTAATGGACTCACACACAACCTCAAACCTCCACCCTGATCATGCCGTGATGTTGAGTGTGTGTTTGCTGCTGTGATGTCGAGTGTGTGTTTGCCGTAGGAAGCCGTGATGTCGAGTGTGTGTTTGCCGTAGGATGCCGTGATGTCGAGTGTGTGTTTGCCGTAGGATGCCGTGATGTCGAGTGTGTGTTTGCCGTAGGATGCCGTGATGTCGAGTGTGTGTTTGCCGTAGGATGCCGTGATGTCGAGTGTGTGTTTGCCGTAGGATGCCGTGATGTCGAGTGTGTGTTTGCCGTAGGATGCCGTGATGTTGAGTGTGTGTTTGCCGTAGGATGCCGTGATGTCGAGTGTGTGTTTGCCGTAGGATGCCGTGATGTCGAGTGTGTGTTTGCCGTAGGATGCCGTGATGTCGAGTGTGTGTTTGCCGTAGGATGCCGTGATGTCGAGTGTGTGTTTGCCGTAGGATGCCGTGATGTCGAGTGTGTGTTTGCCGTAGGATGCCGTGATGTCGAGTGTGTGTTTGCCGTAGGATGCCGTGATGTCGAGTGTGTGTTTGCCGTAGGATGCCGTGATGTCGAGTGTGTGTTTGCCGTAGGATGCCGTGATGTTGAGTGTGTGTTTGCCGTAGGATGCCGTGATGTCGAGTGTGTGTTTGCCGTAGGATGCCGTGATGTCGAGTGTGTGTTTGCCGTAGGATGCCGTGATGTCGAGTGTGTGTTTGCCGTAGGATGCCGTGATGTCGAGTGTGTGTTTGCCGTAGGATGCCGTGATGTTGAGTGTGTGTTTGCCGTAGGATGCCGTGATGTCGAGTGTGTGTTTGCCGTAGGATGCCGTGATGTTGAGTGTGTGTTTGCCGTAGGATGCCGTGATGTCGAGTGTGTGTTTGCCGTAGGATGCCGTGATGTTGAGTGTGTGTTTGCCGTAGGATGCCGTGATGTCGAGTGTATGTTTGCCGTAGGATGCCGTGATGTCGAGTGTGTGTTTGCCGTAGGATGCCGTGATGTCGAGTGTGTGTTTGCCGTAGGATGCCGTGATGTTGAGTGTGTGTTTGCCGTAGGATGCCGTGATGTTGAGTGTGTGTTTGCCGTAGGATGCCGTGTTCTTCCGCTGCGGCGATACGCTGAGCGCTAAAGGCATGACGTACCTCACCAACTCACTGTTCGACTACCGCAGTCCTGAGAACAACGGAGTCCGTGCAGAGTTCATACTGGATGGAAACCTTCACAGGGTACGTGTGTGTGTGTGTGAGTGAGTGTGTGTGAGTGGATAAAACTGGATAAAAGCTTCTGCCAGATAAATTAATGTCAATGTAAATATATTCCATCAAAGCAGATCATGTTGTTTCTGGCGTAATGATGCAGATAATCTGTTGTTTCTCTTCACAAACAGTTGCAGTACTGCTGTAAACACTGATAGTGTGTGTGTGCGTAGTGATGGCTCTGGTCAGTGAAGGTTCAGTGTGTGTCTGTTCACAGGAGACGTTCACGGAGCAGGCGGGGCTTCAGCGATACGGGGCGTTCTACATGGATTACCTGTACACAATGGAGAACAGCAGCAGAGGTACCTCTCTCTCTCTCTCTTTCTCTCTCTCTCACACACACACACACACACACACACACACACAAACACTCTCTCTCTCTCTCTCCCCTGTCTGTCAGCCTGAGGAGGCGTTTGATGGACACACTAATAACTGCTGTCCTCTCGCTCACCTTCACCTGTCAGCTGCTCTTCCTCTATGAGTTTTACTTCATTAGTTGTCAGTTTTAAGGATAAAGATTCAAAACCAAGATATGGTTAAGAATATATTTGAGTAAGATAATATAGATCTATCCATCTATCCATCTATCTATCTATCTACAATATATTGCCAAAAGTATTGGGACACCCCTCCAAATCATTGAATTCAGGTGTGTTCCAATCACTCCATGGCCACTGTTGTATAAATCAAGCACTAGGCATGCAGACGCTTCTACACACATCTGTGAAAGAATGGGTCGCTCTCAGGAGCTTAGTGAACTCAAGCGTGGTACCATGATCGGTTGCCACCTGTGCAATAAGTCCATTCGTGAAATTTCCTCACTACTAAATATTCCACAGTCAACTGTTATTGGTATTATAACAAAGTGGAAGCAATTTGGGAACAATAGCAACTCAGCCACGTAAAATCCCAGAGCGTGTCAGCGCATGCTGAGGAACACAGTGTGCAGAATTTGCCAACTTTCTGCAGAGTCAACAGCTACAGACCTCCAAACTTCTGTGGCCTTCAGATTAGAAGATCAAGAAGAGTGTGTAGAGCTTCATGGAATGGGTTTCCATGACCAAGCAGCTGCATCCAAGCCTTACATCACCAAGTGCAATGCAAAGCGCGGGATGAAGTGGTGCAAAGCGTGGGGTGCAGTGGTGTAAAGCGTGGGATGCAGTGGTGTAAAGTGTGGGATGCAGTGGTGTAAAGTGGGGGATGTAGTGGAGTAAAGTGGGGGATGCAGTGGTGTGAAGCGTGGGATGCAGTGGTGTAAAGCTTGGGATGCAGTGGTGTGAAGCGGGGATGCAGTGGTGTAAAGTGGGGGATGCAGTGGTGTGAAGCATGGGATGCAGTGGTGTAAAGCTTGGGATGCAGTGGTGTAAAGCGTGGGATGCAGTGGTGTAAAGTGGGGAATGCAGTGGAGTAAAGCGGGAGATGCAGTGGTGTAAAGCTTGGGATGCAGTGTTGTAAAGCTTGGGGGATGCAGTGGTGTAAAGTGGGGGATGCAGTGGTGTAAAGCTTGGGATGCAGTGGAGTAAAGCTTGGGATGCAGTGGTGTAAAGCTTGGGATGCAGTGGTGTAGAGCGTGGGATGCAGTGGAGTAAAGCTTGGGATGCAGTGGTGGAAAGCGTGGGATGCAGTGGTGTAAAGCGTGGGATGCAGTGGTGTAAAGCTTGGGATGCAGTGGTGTAAAGTGTGGGATGCAGTGGAGTAAAGCTTGGGATGCAGTGGAGTAAGGCTTGGGATGCAGTGGTGTAAAGCGTGGGATGCAGTGGAGTAAAGCGTGGGATGCAGTGGTGTAAAGCGTGGGATGCAGTGGAGTAAGGCTTGGGATGCAGTGGTGTAAAGCGTGGGATGCAGTGGAGTAAAGCGTGGGATGCAGTGGTGTAAAGCGTGGGATGCAGTGGAGTAAAGCTTGGGATGCAGTGGAGTAAGGCTTGGGATGCAGTGGTGTAAAGCGTGGGATGCAGTGGTGTAAAGCGTGGGATGCAGTGGAGTAAAGCGTGGGATGCAGTGGTGTAAAGCTTGGGATGCAGTGGTGTGAAGCGGGGATGCAGTGGTGTAAAGCGGGGGATGCAGTGGTGTGAAGCGTGGGATGCAGTGGTGTAAAGCTTGGGATGCAGTGGAGTAAAGCGGGAGATGCAGTGGTGTAAAGCTTGGGATGCAGTGTTGTAAAGCTTGGGGGATGCAGTGGTGTAAAGTGGGGGATGCAGTGGTGTAAAGCTTGGGATGCAGTGGAGTAAAGCTTGGGATGCAGTGGTGTAAAGCTTGGGATGCAGTGGTGTAGAGCGTGGGATGCAGTGGAGTAAAGCTTGGGATGCAGTGGTGGAAAGCGTGGGATGCAGTGGTGTAAAGCGTGGGATGCAGTGGTGTAAAGCTTGGGATGCAGTGGTGTAAAGTGTGGGATGCAGTGGAGTAAAGCTTGGGATGCAGTGGAGTAAGGCTTGGGATGCAGTGGTGTAAAGCGTGGGATGCAGTGGAGTAAAGCGTGGGATGCAGTGGTGTAAAGCGTGGGATGCAGTGGAGTAAAGCGTGGGATGCAGTGGAGTAAGGCTTGGGATGCAGTGGTGTAAAGCGTGGGATGCAGTGGTGTAAAGCGTGGGATGCAGTGGAGTAAAGCGTGGGATGCAGTGGTGTAAAGCTTGGGATGCAGTGGTGTGAAGCGGGGATGCAGTGGAGTAAAGCTTGGGATGCAGTGGAGTAAGGCTTGGGATGCAGTTGTGTAAAGCGTGGGATGCAGTGGAGTAAAGTGTGGGATGCAGTGGTGTAAAGCGTGGGATGCAGTGGAGTAAAGCTTGGGATGCAGTGGAGTAAGGCTTGGGATGCAGTGGTGTAAAGCGTGGGATGCAGTGGTGTAAAGCATGGGATGCAGTGGAGTAAAGCGTGGGATGCAGTGGTGTAAAGCTTGGGATGCAGTGGTGTGAAGCGGGGATGCAGTGGTGTAAAGCGGGGGATGCAGTGGTGTGAAGCGTGGGATGCAGTGGTGTAAAGCGTGGGATGCAGTGGAGTAAAGCGTGGGATGCAGTGGTGTAAAGTGGGGAATGCAGTGGAGTAAAGCGGGAGATGCAGTGGTGTAAAGCTTGGGATGCAGTGGTGTAAAGCTTGGGATGCAGTGGTGTAAAGCGTGGGATGCAGTGGTGTAAAGTGGGGGATGCAGTGGTGTAAAGCGTGGGATGCAGTGGAGTAAAGCTTGGGATGCAGTGGTGTAAAGCTTGGGATGCAGTGGTGTAAAGTGTGGGATGCAGTGGAGTAAAGCGTGGGATGCAGTGGTGTAAAGCTTGGGATGCAGTGGTGTAAAGCGTGGGATGCAGTGGAGTAAAGCTTGGGATGCAGTGGAGTAAGGCTTGGGATGCAGTGGTGTAAAGCTTGGGATGCAGTGGTGTAAAGCGTGGGATGCAGTGGTGAAAAGCGTGGGATGCAGTGGAGTAAAGCGTGGGATGCAGTGGTGTAAAGCTTGGGATGCAGTGGTGTGAAGCGGGGATGCAGTGGTGTAAAGCGTGGGATCCGATGCAGTGGAGTAAAGCTTGGGATGCAGTGGAGTAAGGCTTGGGATGCAGTGGTGTAAAGCGTGGGATGCAGTGGAGTAAAGCGTGGGATGCAGTGGTGTAAAGCGTGGGATGCAGTGGAGTAAAGCTTGGGATGCAGTGGAGTAAGGCTTTGGATGCAGTGGTGTAAAGCGTGGGATGCAGTGGTGTAAAGCGTGGGATGCAGTGGAGTAAAGCGTGGGATGCAGTGGTGTAAAGCTTGGGATGCAGTGGTGTGAAGCGGGGGATGTAGTGGTGTAAAGCGAGGGATGCAGTGGTGTAAAGCGAGGGATGCAGTGGTGTAAAGTGGGGAATGCAGTGGAGTAAAGCTTGGGATGCAGTGGTGTAAAGCTTGGGATGCAGTGGTGTAAAGCGTGGGATGCAGTGGTGTAAAGTGGGAGATGCAGTGGTGTAAAGCGTGGGATGCAGTGGAGTAAAGCTTGGGATGCAGTGGTGTAAAGCTTGGGATGCAGTGGTGGAAAGCTTGGGATTTAGTGGTGTAAAGCGTGGGATGCAGTGGAGTAAAGCGTGGGATGCAGTGGTGTAAAGCTTGGGATGCAGTGGTGTAAAGCGTGGGATGCAGTGGAGTAAAGCTTGGGATGCAGTGGAGTAAGGCTTGGGATGCAGTGGTGTAAAGCTTGGGATGCAGTGGAGTAAAGCTTGGGATGCAGTGGAGTAAAGCGTGGGATGCAGTGGAGTAAAGCGAGGGATGCAGTGGAGTAAAGCGTGGGATGCAGTGGAGTAAAGCGTGGGATGCAGTGGAGTAAAGCGTGGGATGCAGTGGAGTAAAGCTTGGGATGCAGTGGTGTAAAGCGTGGGATGCAGTGGTGTAAAGCTTGGGATGCAGTGGAGTAAAGCGTGGGATGCAGTGGAGTAAAGCTTGGGATGCAGTGGAGTAAGGCTTGGGATGCAGTGGTGTAAAGCGTGGGATGCAGTGGTGTAAAGCTTGGGATGCAGTGGTGTAAAGCGTGGGATGCAGTGGTGTAAAGCGTGGGATGTAGTGGTGTAAAGCGGGGGATGCAGTGGTGTAAAGCGTGGGATGCAGTGGTGTAAAGCGGGGGATGTAGTGGTGTAAAGCGAGGGATGCAGTGGTGTAAAGCGTGGGATGCAGTGGAGTAAAGCGTGGGATGCAGTGGTGTAAAGCGTGGGATGCAGTGGTGTAAAGCGTGGGATGCAGTGGAGTAAAGCGTGGGATGCAGTGGTGTAAAGCGTGGGATGCAGTGGTGTAAAGCGTGGGATGCAGTGGTGTAAAGCGTGGGATGCAGTGGTGTAAAGCTGGTTTTGGCGGTTTCCAGGAGAACGGTACTTGCCTGACTGCATTGTGCCAAGTTTAAAGTTTGGTGGAGGGGGGATTATGGTGTGGGGTTGTTTTTCAGGGCTTGGCCTCTTAGTTCCAGTGAAAGGAACTCTTAATGCTTCAGCATACCAAGACATTTAGGACAATTTCATGCTCCCAACTTTGTGGGAAGAGTTTGTGGATGTTCCTGTTCCAGCATGACTGTGCTCCAGTGCACAAAGCAGGACCATAAACACATGGATGAGGAGTTTGGTGTGGAGGAACTGGACTGGCCTTCACAGAGTCCTCACCTCGACCCGATAGAACAGCTTAGGGATGAGTTAGAGCGGAGACTGAGAGCTTCTCGTCCAACATCCGTGCCTGACCTCACTAATGAGCTTCTAGAAGAATGGCCAATCATCCCCATAAACACACTAAACCTTGTGGAAAGCCTTCCCAGAAGAGTTTTAGCTGTTATAGCTGCAAAGATTGAGCCAACTCCATATTAAACCCTACGGATCAGGAATGGGATGTCATTAAAGTTCATGTGCCTGTAAAGGCAGACGTTCCAAAACTTTTGGCAGTATCTATCTATCTATCTATCTATCTATCTATCTATCTATCTATCTATCTATCTATCTATCTATCTATCTATCTATCTATCTATCCATCTATCCATCTATCCATCTTCCATTCTCATGCAGCACTGACGCTCACAGAACATTGTCCTAAAATGTTATGTTAGTGTTTCCTTTAATGCTGCAATTCCACTAGAATCTGGATATTTGTGTATAAATAATAGGATGTTGTTGCTGTTGAATAAATAACAGTGTCTGCTGTTGTTTGCGAGAGAAGAATGACAAGAAAAAGCCAAGACTACCAGCAGAAGAAACATTACATTTCACTGACATATCTGAATACAGATGAATCTCATTTACACCTTCATTTCATCATCAACTCCGCCTCGCGCTCTCTCTCTCTCCCCCTCCTCTCTCCCTCTCTCTCTCTCTCTCTCTCTCTCTCTCTCTCTCTCTCTCTCTCTCTCTCTCTCTCTCTCTCTCTCCCCCTCTCTCTCTCTCTCTCCCCCTCTCTCTCTCCCTCTCTCTCTCTCTCTCTCTCTCTCTCTCTCTCCCCCTCTCTCTCTCTCTCTCCCCCTCTCTCTCTCCCTCTCTCTCTCTCTCTCTCCCCCTCTCTCTCTCCCTCTCTCTCTCTCTCTCTCCCCCTCTCAATTCAATTCAAAATTGCTTTATTGGCATGACTGTACACAATACAATATTGCCAAAGCTTGGAATACATAAAGACATCAAAATAATAAAATATTATAATATGACTTAAATCTAAATGTACAAATTAAATTGATTGT